AACTTGTTCCAGACTTGTAACAACATCTGAGAACAAGCAGTGTGAGCACATCCTGATATCAGCTTAACAACAACATTGTTACAACTTGTTTGCAGATCTGTAACAACTTGCCCATTTTTGTGTGTGCAACGCACAGTCCATTTTCACACGGAACCATGCTATACTCATACGCCGAGTTGGCGCGGCGAGCAATCAAACCTAGGACCTGATCTCAATCTCAAAATGAATGCTGTACCGAATTGAGCTATCCTCGCCTGACAAATTAACAACGAAAACGTTTGGAAGCCGATAAAACCGGAATAATGTAAGTGCGTATCTAACTTCCCATAGTAATAATAAAGCTGTCGTGTATATACGTACGGAAAAGTTTATATTCATTTAACTGCTACACCTACGAAACCATTAATTAAATGAATGAAAGAACGGTATTTGGTATTCACTGTAATTCATGTGTGTTTGTTACTTGCTAGATATACAAAATTTCAGAAAGATTTTCGTACCCAAGCAGACACGATTAGTGAAAATGGAAGCGGGCAACCCCTGCACGCAATCGGAAAATAATAATAATAACACTTCTATAAAAAGTAATTAACTGATCTACTCCCTGCCGTTTAACCATTGTACTGCATTGATATGTATGTTATAGATAGTTATGCCGCTGTTGCTAAGCTATAAGCAGCTGTATCATAATAGAATTTATATATATATATATATATATATATATATATATATATATATATATATATATATATATATATATATATATATAGAAAGACACAAAAACTTAGCAAGCTTTGTTTGGCATATTGATAAATATTATGCTATTATGCTCTGGTTATCCATTGAGCACTCTATCATTGGTTCTTATAACCTAACACAGACTATTTTATATATATATATATATATATATATATATATATATATATATATATATATATATATATATATATATATATATATATATATATATATATGAATAGGTTTTGGGAATCATGCCTGGTATATATATGAATATAATTTTTTATTTAAAAAATTTAAAAAAGACTTCTACAGGCAATAAAAATTTAAAAATTTGTCCCAACGTTTCGCCGGTTAAGGCTTCTTCAGGGGAATGTTTTAACTGGTCACGTCCGTTGAATATATACTAAAAGCTAGACTAAATCTGAATAAACAGGTGGAATGTGGGCAATAACGAGCTAAAAATGTTGTTATTCATGCGTATCATGCAAAATACAGATTAAATGTTAATTGTTCTACCAATGCATCCGTTTATTAAGTTTCCCGCTCGTTTCTTGATTTCAAAAGCCTCAATGCACTTACGCTCATCATCATTGTTTATGTTGGAATGTAGGATTCTCCAAGTTATGGTTGGCATGTCATCTTCGTTACTCCTGTGGGATTCAATGTGTTTGTATATGGTTTGCTTATTCATGGTCAAATGTTCTTTAATGCGCGTGCCAATTGTCCTACCAGTTTCACCAATATAAACTTTATTACAATGCAGGCATTCAAATTCGTATACAACGTTCTTATTGTGGCAACGATTTGGGTTTTTTCCCGATTTGCAAGTCTCGCAATTATTAGAGCAACTCATTGTTTCTTTCCGTGGGGCAAACCTCTGTGATGACGATTTCCCGTTCAGAAAATGGATTTTAATATTATTTAGTCCCGATCGACGGACTATAGCAAGAGAGCGTCGTTTAATTAAACTCCTCGTTAATATAGGGTAGCTTAATATAAATGCAATTCTCCTGATCGTTAATTCTCGGTTGATTGTGTAATACACGTTGAACGGAGGCTCTAACAAACGATTTGGGGTAGCCATTTGTAGCAAACACTTGGGTTAGTTTACGCAAGGATTCTTTTTTATTATTATCATCTGTTGAGCGAGAAACGGCACGGTTTATTTCGCCGATTAAAATGGCTTGTTTAGATGCGAGGGATCCGTGACTGTCCCATGGAACGATGCAATTGCTGTGGATAGGTTTTATGTACAGCTGGGTGGAAAAGTTATTCGTTTCAGGGTTGAATGTAACCATAGCATCTAGAAATGGCAATTGCCCTTCGTTTGGTAATTCGATAGTAAATTTGATGGCTTCATTTATGCTATTAGCAATCGTCAGGAGTCTGTCTCCAGATATTTGTGTCGATAATATAAATGCAAAATAATCATCAATGTAGCGTTTCAATATAACTAGGCCATTAGTTTTGGTGGTAATTTGGTGATCAATTTCATTCATGTATATTAAAAAATTAAATATAAAAAAACCAAATCGTTGCCACAATAAGAACGTTGTATACGAATTTGAATGCCTGCATTGTAATAAAGTTTATATTGGTGAAACTGGTAGGACAATTGGCACGCGCATTAAAGAACATTTGACCATGAATAAGCAAACCATATACAAACACATTGAATCCCACAGGAGTAACGAAGATGACATGCCAACCATAACTTGGAGAATCCTACATTCCAACATAAACAATGATGATGAACGTAAGTGCATTGAGGCTTTTGAAATCAAGAAACGAGCGGGAAACTTAATAAACGGATGCATTGGTAGAACAATTAACATTTAATCTGTATTTTGCATGATACGCATGAATAACAACATTTTTAGCTCGTTATTGCCCACATTCCACCTGTTTACTTAAATTTAGTCTAGCTTTTAGTATATAGTATTCAACGGACGTGACCAGTTTAAACATTCCCCTGAAGAAGCCTTAACCGGCGAAACGTTGGGACAAATTTTTAAATTTTTTATTGCCTGTAGAAGTCTTTTTTAAATTTTTTAAATAAAAAATTATATTCATATATATATATATATATATATATATATATATATATATATATATATATATATATATATATATATATATATATATATATATATATATTATATATATAGTATATATATATATATATATATATATATATATATATATATATATATATATATATATATATATATATATATAAATTATATATATATATATATATATATATTATACAAATAATGAATGTTTCTTCGTGCAATGGTAAGAATATTTTCATGAGGTGAAAGATGGAATGTTCCATTCAACGAGGCGACAGCCGAGTTGAATGGAACATTCCATCTTTCACCGAATGAAAATATTCTTACCATTGCACGAATAAAAACATTCATTATTTGTTTTATATAATACCAAAATAGACTAATATTAAAAGTTTACTGTAAGCTTTCGCCATTTTGACGAGTCGTATTTGCATTAAATCCCATTTACTGAGTTTCGAATATCGGGTTAAAATAAACTGCGATCGCCGTACGAGAAGCATTTTGACGGATGCGATTTATCGAAAACACAAAGAGTGCAATGGAATAAAACGTATAGTACAATTGCACTCGCAAGAGTGCAATGGAACGTATTCCATTGCACTCTTGGGAAATGGAATTTTCTATTCAATATCACGTGACCATAAACAGCCAATTAAACGATCAGAATTCAATATGGTATTATATAAATATATATATATATATATATATATATATATATATATATATATATATATATATATATATATATATATATATATATATATATATATATATATATATATATATATATATATATATACCGGGTGGCCAAAAAAAAAGTACTCCTGTTTGATTCGTAATAACATCTAAACAAGTATAGCTTTTAAAGAGAAATAACTTGCATCAAATAGAGGAAGGACTAACTTAGACTTCGATATATTACAGTTGTATTTCACTTAAAAATTCACGGAGATATTAATCTTTAAATTCGGGAGGATATTTCTGGATGTGTCTGAAATATGCAAAAATCGGCATATCAAATATTAATCAAGATTTGCCCGACTGAAACATGCACTATTACCAGTAAATAAATGACACTTGACAAATTGTTTATTATGAAACAAAGTATTATTATATCTATTAATCCTGCTCTAACCGAGAAATAATCAACTTTGTTTTGAACCCATGAAAAACATAAAAAAATAGGTTATTTAAGAAAAATTGAAGCGCCTGCCTTGCATGGTCTTTCAGTACCTTAAGTTTGCAAAGACCTATTAAATACTTACATAATTTCGAACGTTCATATTTCAGGAAACAATAAGTTAAGACTTACATGTAAGATGTCTAAATCTACGCCATATCCCTTACAAACCCTAACGACAATTCGCTGAAATACAATTTACCCTGATATATGTCATTAAGCAAACAAACGCTGGAGTGAAAATTTGATACGCCGATTTTCGCTAATTTTAGACACATCCCAAAATATGCTCCCGATTTTGAACATTAATATCTCCGTGAATTTTTAAGTAAAATACAACTGTAACATATCAAAATCTAAGTTAGTCCTTCCTCTATTTAATGCAAGTTATTTCTGTTTGATAGCTTTACTTGTTTAGAAGTTATTATAAATCAAACAGGAGTACTTTTTTTTGGGCCACCCGGTAGAGTTATCAAAATATATAAAAAAAAAACAATATCTGCTGAATAAATCCTAAAAATGCGTAGTTTGAACATGTCAAAGTGTTAAACACCTAAATTTTTGAAAACTGTATCGAGCCACCTAAATAGATCCATTGTGTTTAGGCCAAGTAAAAGCAAATATTAACTTGGTTAGCGTCCCCGCCCGAAAAAGCGCCCGACCCAACATTTTTAAAATTATTTATTCATTTATTTTTAATATTTTGTCCATTTTTATATAAATAAACCAACATTCACAGCTAGCGTTACATTTGTCAGCAGTTGACTAACGCTGGGGTGTGATATACACCCCAGCACTAGCCAACAGTTGATTGCCAGAAATCCTCGATATATTAAATATGCTCATATTTTATATCCCTGGGAACGAGGCTGATTTTATATCGGTGCAAATAAAAAAAAAACTTTTTAAAAACCCTTCCCCCCTACCCTAAAAATTAGGAAAAAAGGACGCTAACCAAGTTATTTTTTACTTGGCTTTATTGTCTAACAAGTATACATTAATTTAGAACACCACCCCTGCTGTTCAACCTACAAAGGGAATCATTTATGTTGCTGACTCGTTCCCACCATGGCAACAAACAATGGTTCGTTCCCAGACAATAGAGATATCGTCAAAGCAATGAAGGATATTCCTGAAGTGCAAAAATATATGAAGAAACTTATGCCATTTGTTCAAAATTACAAGGTAAGCCAAATTAACGAGCGCGCATGAGCTCGACTGGTGTCGTGAAAAGGAAGTGGAGTGGAGGGGGCAACTTGCCCTTTGCTCCATTTTAATACGGTTCCCCATTTTGGGAGGGAATAAGGCTCGCCTCATCTCAGGTTGTACCCCCTCTCTGTTAGGGCTCCCAAAAGCTCAAGTTCAATCCTCTTGTAGAGGGAGTCCTCACATATAACACGGTTTCTGATGTTGTAAAATGGTGCCGTCGCGAAGGTCACAGTATAATGTATGCTTAGGGTCCGTTCATATGTGCCCTGATAACCGGCAAACTCGTCATGTGTTAATTGATATAAAACCCATTCACACGTGAAACGAGTTATCGCACCCTGCGGGAAGAAAAATATATTTTCTATCCTGGTGAACAGATGTAATTCATCCCACTTTACTTATATAGGACTGGTGAGCTTCCTGGTCAACCGCGCTCGTATTAAACTGAGAATTTTTCTACTTTGCAGAGTAAAGTTGAAAAACAAGGAATCGGGGCTCTGGATACAACATTGAGTTTTGATGAAATAAAAGTGTTAAATGAAAATATTGAATATCTCACTAAATCTCTTGGAGTAAGTCAATACATTTCAATTGTTAACTAGAATACTCACGCCATAACATTTCGAACACATGGTGGATATATTCATTTGCTCACTTGGTTGCACAAATGAAACATGGTATAGCCAAACAACAAAACCTTTAACTACCTTTACTGAGTCCCAAGACTTGTGTATAGCAGTGTAAATAACTATTCATAACCTTACCAAATAACAGACACTAACAAACCCTTCAGTGGAAACGGATAAAATAACCTCTTTTTATTACGGAATTCTCTAAGACGGATTCCAAATCATAGACTGGTTATTTAAAAGAAATAATAAGAACATTTTGTCGGAACAAGAAGTGTCTAGAAACGTCTTTCTTGCGAAAACTTCGATGATGAGGTAATGACAGTTTGTGTATGTCGTTTTCAGTTATGTTCAATAGAAGTGAAGTCTGCTGTAGAAGGCGATGGTAAAATTAAAGACGAATGCCTCCCTGGAAAACCGTACTCGGTGTTTAAATGTTGAAAATAGGTAACGAAATTTTCTATTTATTTTATTTTGTGGCTATTTTGTACCAAGCGCCCTCTCTCCACTCTCAGAAGTCTCCACTCCTATCAATTAAGATTAACGGTGATTTTTTTACCCCATCTCTTTGCTGTTCCAAACGATTTCTCTGAAAAACATGAGGCACCACATCACACTCCGACCTTCTTCACGGACGTCTTTTTTATCACTGCATGAGGTAGCCTGGGCAAAATACATGCAGCGCTCGTATCAGAGTCTTTGTCTTGGTCCCAACAATGGTCTGACTGCAATTATTGACAAACCATGTTCGGGCAGTTTGATAAACATTGTCAAAAATTCAATGATTAAAAATTAAGATTCATAAATAGCCGAATACAACCCCCTCCCCCCCTGCAAACAATGTTGTTGTATGACATCATATTTCATTGAGAACGTATTGCACTGTCTATTTATGATACAATATGCATACCATAATACAACATTTTAAACGGGGCACTGGGGTTAAGAGGGTGCCAGATGCCATACTACCGGAGGGTTTTGTCAACGTACCTTGAAGAGATATAGGCCAAACGTCTGGACGTTGATGGAGCTACTGAAAATTAGTAGGTAGTTGCAGGGCGTAGTAGTCGCGACCAAAGGAAGACAATTTATTTATGCAACCAAGCTTATTAATTGGAACAGTCGAGTTTAAAATAACAGAATGCTTTTAGTGTATTGTATTTTAACTTCTACAATGTTTTACACAATTTACTGTTAGGCTTTGTAAAGAAGCATGCGATTGGGGATTTTTTTGGAAAATTTTGAATCAACATTTTTGGCACGCAGAAAGTTAGTCATTTTGTTTATTTCAGGCAGGGGGAAATATGATACATTCATATAGAGTTCTCCCACTTTGCGCTTTATTTTGGGTAGGGGTTTGCCCCTTTACGTTCACTTTTGGTGGCTGTAGCCCAGCCCTCTCCCCGGTTCCACCGCCTATGAAAACAATGTTTTATACAACTTTTCCCCCACATGCACTGCCCCCCATTCGAATTTGCCACCGCAGTATTATGCAATCGAAGTTCTAAAATATTGATTATTCATTGTTTAGGTTCAGAACTCGATTACGGACGACATTAGTAAATCTTATACTTCACTATGAAAAACAGCTATAATATTTTAACAGTAATAAATGTCTAGCAATATAAATCTTTTGTGGAAAATTATTTATAATTTTAATTCAATTATAGTGGAGTGTAATTTTATGGCATTTTTGTCTGAAATCCACTGCGTTATATTAGCTTTGCTTTAAAGTAATTTATTTATTGTTCTGGCTGTCGTTGTTGCGTTGCTGTCCTACATGCTAAAGGTCCCGTGCGAGAGACCGTTTATTATTTTTGCATCAGATTGGCACTGCACTAATGAGAAATCGAAAATGATAATTTTTTTGGTTTACCCAACCATTTCGGGGCTTCATTTTTTTCTTCCTAATCCTTCTTGTTTTTGTGAGGCTATTAGTACCACGTACTGCCCAGAATGGAAAGGAAACGTTACAATGACTATTTTGGAGAAGCGTATTGTATTCTAGTGCAAATCATGTCAAGCATTTTTTAGTGTTTTGCAGCATCAACAACCTTGGGTCATTTCCCTTTGTATACAATCTACTTGATACTTCAATACCTTTAATTGGTAATTGATAATCGCTTTATAAGCATGACCATATTTTACAGGTATTGCTAAAGCTTAACTATGACGTAACCAGGGACGCCGGAGCGAGGGTAGGGCACAGGGGGGCAATGTTGACGTAAGGGCAATCACTAATTAATATTTCGTTTCCGAAAATTTTTTCCGGAACCTTAATTCACCAAAACAAGGGCAAAAACTTTTCAAAATATAATTTTTGACACAATATTCCAGAAAATTTCACATGTATTTCAATATTACGTACATTTCACCCGTAATTCATACTTTTTAATCGAACCATATATTTTTCGGGTTAGAATTTTTATCTATAAAGACACTTTCGCCCCCACCCCTGCCCCCCCCCTTACTAAAGGGCAAGGGGGGCGATGCGCCCCCCCCCTTTCCGGCGTCCCTGAACGTAACAATGTAACATATCAAAATATTTAAGAAGTAGACTATAAGAAGATACTATTTACAGGATGAAGAGTTTAACTAATGACTACCAGCATTCCCGGCTTCAAGTTGTTTAGTCTTTCCTCAAAACACGAAAAAATAAATTTCGATAATTTCAGGATGGTGTCACTATCAGTTGACTTCATTATGTCAACTGATATAGTTGGTTCGTTTACGTTTGTCTCAATAGTAGTGAGATCGTTTTTTAGACTGTTTATAAAGGTTACCCGAATGTCACCGTAAGCCTCGCAAGTGAGGAGGAAGTGAGATCCGGGCGCATAAAGATTAGACGATCCCTAACAAATTGACATTAGGGGCCATTCACAAAGGATGTCCGGCCAAATCATGGATTTTCAGAACCCCCTCTCCCTCTTGTCCGGCATTGTCCGAATTAGTGACCCCCTCCCCCCGGACATCCGCCATGCCTCGCAAAAAACTCACGCAACCTTGTCATATACAAGAGTAAAAAACTTTTTACTTTTAGAACTTTTTTATAACTATAAATGTGAATATAAAAACATATAAATTATTAATTAAAACAAACAACTGTGTTACTGCAACAACGGGATGAACTTATTGTATAGAAAAGGAGAGTTCTACATGCAGAAAGCTTTTATTTGACACCACTGTTGAATTCATCATTGAAGGAAAGAATTAGATAATATTACGAAGTGTTCAAAATGCCAATTTCACAATGGGAAGGAGCATACCTAATTTTAAGAATTTTTTATCACTGCACATTTTATGCCAAAAATTCCCGAATGACTAAGAAAATTTCAGAGTTTCGGAAATTTTTGGCGACCTCCCCCCCCCCCTTGCCAAAAAAATTTTGGTCAGTGTACCATTTTAAGGGTCAAAAATTTTTTCCGGACATACCAAAAGCCAGATATTAACTAAAAATTGCCTGAATCTCATGATTTTCGTACAATAAACATATACTATTATTTAATTCGATAATTTGGCAGTCATCATTTCAATTTCAATTAAATCATTCTCTTGTGTTAATTAACAACTTATCAAAGCAAATTTTATCACTGCACATTTTACATTTTATCACTGCACATTTTACTTTTATCACTGCACAAATTGGTTATTACTGCACACTAAAATTAGGTATGGGAAGGAGAGTTCAAAATAGGGGGAAAAGAAGTTTGTTTTAAATTTCGGACATCCGGATTGCTAAAAATCACCCTCCCCCCCCCTATGTCTGAGTTTGTCCTGGATTTTCCAAACCCCCTCGGCTCGGACATCCTTTGTGAATGGTCCCCAACGTTTTCAAACATAAACTAATATAAATCCAGTTTATTTAGCTAGATCAATGGCTAACGATTATGATTGATTGTGATACGGAGGATTCCGAAGATTATCCGGCATCGCTCGATCATCACTTCAAAATGGCGGAATTATTGCTAGATTCTGCTATTCGTGTTTGGGTAATTTTGCCCATTGTAATAATAACATTTTTTGTTGGAATAATCCGACATTATCTTTCTATTCTTCTACAGTCCAATAAGAAGGTAGAACTGGAACAAGTTAGCGATAGGTTTGTATTAAAATTCTTTTTTTCAAATTCTAAATATCTATATGACTATATTTTGTAAATGATTCAATCATCAATGATTCAATGATAATTTGTGGTGTTAGAACTCATGTGAATTATTATATCGGACAAACTGAAAAATTGGGCTACAGACCCCTTGCCTTGTTTACGTGGTCTGACAAACAAAAGTTTTTAAAAATCTCCTAAGACAATGCACCTATCAATGTTAATCGGGGGTAAGGGTGCAGGCAATGGGTGGGGATTTAATCGTAAATTCTATCCCAACAGACGGGCATTTGTCAAAGATTTTTTGCCCGGGTGCGGGCGATTTGCCCTTCGATCCATAATTCAACATGCGATTTCAGTACGAAGCCTGGAGCCTAGACTTTCCAAAGTCCTTTCCAGGCCCTTCTATGGCGCGCTTCACTTCCTCTGTGGAAAGGACTTTTGTCACTTGCAGCGCACCAAATCTCACCGGTGGAAAAATCCACCGGTGACGTCATTGTTTACATTGAAGGCCGAAGCGGTTACATTATCGGTCATTATCGAAGGAGTCTAACAATAATACTATATTCTCAGGCTCTTTGTTGAACAAATGTGTATTATTGAAGCAAAGAGAGTAAACAGTGTAATTACAATTTTGTAGAACACAAAAACCATGTAAAAATACACAAACAGACATTATATAACTTATAGTATAAAGTACAGGGTGTAGAAATAAACTTTAATACTGCCACCGAAGATGCATCTGTTGATTCTAAAATTTCCACACTAGTTTCGGGTTTAGTTTGGATTTCTTGATCTCGATTACTGATTATTACAAATCGCTTGCTGAGAAAACAACGCATATTTTTACTGGATTTTGAACTCTAGCGAGTAGCAAGGTCTTCTAGTTGATCACAATCGCTGCTTCTTGGTTTAATACAGTTGTCTGATTCTTTTCAATTTATAGATTAACTTCTACTAGCTACGATAATAAAATCGCTGGCGAACAGAGTCAGACTATTCTTGTCGACATAATTACGGCACACATTGCTTAAATAGACAAACAACTGTGTCAAAGCTTCAATAAGTTTTTACATGCACTTGTTTTTGTTGATACATTGAACAGCTTTCGGCACTTACTTAACTTGGGTCAGTCATTTTGTTTCCACACTTGGTGCGAACTGTTTCATTCGACGACCAAGAAATATCAATTCTAGTCTAGAGAATGTTTTTGTTTTTGTAAACCCATTGTCGGTGCGGTGAAGTAATTGTATGAAATGTACACACTTTTAATATGTCAAAATTATTCGCGCCAAAATTTTAATGCGATTGAAAATTCCTGCAAGCGACACAAGTCGACCACTCGCGACTTCGTCCCTCGGGTCGCGCACTCCCTTCCCCATGGTCGACTTGTGGCAAGTCTACCTGGAGCCTAGAATCGAGAAAACCGCAAGTCTGGAAATATTCTGCTTCTGTCTTCTGGCCTTTTGGAATTTGAATACAGTACATAGTCTGGTTTCTGGGGATAAAATTTAGGATGCCCAGACGCTTTTTGTTGCTCTTTATATTAAATGTTAAAATATTTTGCCTCGATCTATCCCCTGGGTGCGTCTGTTTTGAAACATTTGATTATCTTAGAATGCCCCACCAGTGGGCATTTGACCCAATTTTTTATTTTCAGGTCAAATCCCCACCCATTGCCCGCACCCTTACCCCACGGGATTAATATTGATAGGTGCATAACTTTGTTCAATTCTTTGTATAATTGCAATTTTCCTGCCAGCACAACATAAACAAGGGGAGGGGACCAGGGCTTGAATTTTATTGCGGCAATTGCCGTAGAGGTAGAACAAAATGCCGTGGATCATTGTGGCAACGACAGCAATTTTTTGCCATATAGTGCAATTTTTATACTATTCACTGTGCATTACTATTTTGATACTTGAATTCAGATGTAAATCACCACTTTAGTCTCAGTTCCCTTCGAAAAGAAAAAAAAAACACTAAAGAAATATGTAAACATGTTTCTAGCTTGTCAACAGTCCAAAGTAACAATAAAATTAAATTTTATTACAGTAATTTTGAAAAAATGCTGTGAAAATTGCCATAGACCGCTGTAACGTTCTACGGCAGTTTTTAATGCCATTGCCGTCAATTGATTTAAGGAAAATTTGAGGCCTGGAGGGGACTATTTCATTTAAAAGACATCCCCCCAATTAATTAGTATTGTGGAGAACAACCTCTGCATGCATTGTTAACATTATTTTATGCACATGTCAACAGCCTGCCCAGGGGGTGGGGTACACCCCCGGGACAACCTGGGGAAAACAAGGGGGAATTTGGTATTTTAGCCACATATTCTGCCCTTGGGCCCCAGAGAAATTGTGTACTTTGTAATATCTAAGGTATATAATGTGAGGGGGGAGGGGGACTTTTTGTCGTGACATTTTCATAAATGAAGTGCAAAGTCAGTATCGCAGGCTCAAGGGAAAAAAACGGGCACAACATTAATTGCCTAAATGTCTTCGGAAAACAAGTTGTGTATTTTATATGTTTGATATTTAATCTGTATTATTATTACTGATGTATTGAGCATCCAATCCATATATATTTACTTTCTATTGGCAATGTACCCTGGTTCCAGAGGCTCTTTGCGAGGCGAAAGAAACAAGAGGCGAGAAGGAAGATCTTCTGGTCACATCGGTTGCAAATCCCACTTCCACACTTGATTAGGTTCAGAATTTGAATCTCGCATGTGATTGGCCATTTGTAAAAATATGTCAAACCAGTTTGGGAAATAAACATTACTGTAAGCTAATTATAGCTATTGTAGCACCTGGCTATAATAGCTATAATATAGATATACTGTATTATTAACCCATTAAGCTGCAAAGCTTCCCCATTGACAAGTAAAATTTTCTGGCGTTGGACAAATAAAAAAAAAATAAGCAGGGCGCACCGGGGTGCATTGTGACTCAATTGGTTAAACATCAATGTATTCTATATTAAATCAGATAGAATCATAGATACATACAGTATACACCTATTTTGCCTTTAGTAAAATTATGTTTTGAAACTCTGCAAAACTTTGACCATGAAATGTATTGTATTCACTTCCTAAAGCACTGCAATTTGCTTCAAAATCTGAAACGCCTGAAAAAATATTTTGATCACCTAAAATTTGCAGGTTGAGATTCAACATATTTTCTCATCAAATAAAAAACCTTTTGTTAGTCATTAGTCAAACTACTGTGTTTTTTTACTTTATGACATATGATGATTCCAGATATACTGTATTTTTGTAGTTGCTAGGATACCAGTTGCTTGGATACCAATTTAGAAGTCCTGGTATCCTCATTCCTCAATGGATACCATGGGAAAATTCTAATTTTGAACCCTGGTTGACTGACTCAGCTCAGATCTCTATAACTTTGTGCATTCTCTCCAATAATGACTAATTAAAAGGGTTTTTGCATAACTGGGAGTTTTGACTTTTTAACTTTCCATCAATGACTTTTGAAACTTCAAATGATTGGAGCTGGGTTTGTTCAGACTTTCATGAACAACAATGGAGTGAATGGACCGAAATCTAATAGTTGTGCTTTACTCTTGAGATTTTACTTGTAGGTGCACCAAGTAATAAATGTTTTAGTAGACTAAGAATTATAAAACAAATTTTATTCAATATCTTCTCTTTCTAAAATGGGCCTACAAGAAACTTTTTTTCATTTCTGTTGTGCCATACCAGCGGTCTCAATTTTATTGATCCCAGTGTTTGAATCAGAGTAAATTTTAGACTTGACTTTTTATCCATCAACTGCAGCGAATCTAAAGGGAAGTAATGCGCAGTCTTCAAATAGTTAAATAGGAAAGTCATTTCCATGTTTATACCTTCCTTAGCCTGTCTTTAGAAATAGTATCGTCAAGAACAAAATATTAACTGGCAATCTGATCTCATTATGAGAAATTATACATACCTAATAACCCCTCGAATAGTCGTCCTGTTGTTTAAACGTTTTAGTGCAAAGCATCCTCATACCATTAATACCCAACGCTTTCCCCTAAACAAGTAAAGTCATCAGGGCAGTTAAATAATATAAATAATGGGTTAAATTTAAAGGGAAATGGCAATATGTATTTTTTATTTTCTCATTTGAAGACTATATATAATACTGTTTACCGTTTTTTTCATATCTTGCTTACTTCTACAAATATTTTGATCGAAAGGAATGAAATGTCTGCCATCTTCATTTTTGTAGATATGCCTGTCACGTCACAACAGGGGTCACGCAATATTTTTAACTTAGACAACCACTAGTCATTTTGCACTCAAAACTGTTCTTTGTCTGCCCTTCGAAATATCAAGATCACTCAAAACCTTAAAAACATCTACTGAACAATATTTGGTCAGCAACGAATACTTTAAATTTATATGGTTAATCCCTGTTGTGACGTCACCAAAACTACCGTTAATGAGATACTTCAAGTGAAAATATTTCAAAAACTAAGCAAGATATGGAAAATCGGTAAAAGAAGTTAATATATATATATTATATAGTTTCAAAAGTTCTTTCAAATGAGAAAATAAAAATATATATTGCCATTCCCTTTGAAGGGATAAGGACCACTGAGAATTTCCTTGAACCAATGGCAAGCTTTAGTAGTACATTTAGTAGTATAGTTTTACATCCAATACACTGCTATCTTTATTCACAAATAATATATTATTTTATTTTGGTTATTGAATGGTACCCAAATAGAATTATCGTGCAAGTATAGCTACGTATATTATACATAGTACTCTGTGTATTATATTGAACTCTGAGATCCAACGTGCAGGCTTGTTAGAATTTTCATCTTTAAGTGTTGCTCTTCTCTTAATTTCTTTACAGTCAAGTATTACTGAGAAGCAAGTTATTAAGAGAGCATGGTTCCTATATTCCTCAACAGGTAACTTTTTTGTTGTACTGTTCTCATACAGTATTTATTTTGTAAAGTTTACACTACTTATAAACAGTTATAGAAACACGATTTAATAATAACGTATTTGAAAATAACGTGAGATTATCAGCAAATTGTCTGGGCCTTTGGGCCAGCTGTAGAAAAAAACCATGGCATTGATTTCTTTGTATTTTGATCATCAGGGCTTTCAAATTAAGCCGGCGTGTGTTATGAGGTTTACCACCGTCTACTTTCTTTAGAACATATATACTTTAAAACATACTTCATGTGCTGTACTTAATGGACCATTTGCATTATAGACTAAATTTTGATCTAGTTATTAACTATGATCTAGACAAGTCTAGACAAAAATGTCATCACAGCTTGAAAGAGCATCACAACATTAGTAATATTCCAAAGTTTCGTTGCGAAATGTTGTAAAATGCGGATAATATAGCCTTGCGAAGTTTGCCGTTTTTCAGTCATTTTGTATTACGCACGGGAAATTGACAGCCCAATCGGGTGTTGGGGCATCAATTTCCCGTTTGTAATACAAAATGACTGAGATTTGCAAATTTCGCAAGGCTATATTATCCGCATTTTACAACATTTCGCAACGAAACTTTGGAATATTACTAATTTTGTGATGAAATTTTTGTCTATAATGCAAATGGTCCATTGTATTAGATGCAACACTGGAGCGACACAAGAACGGCAGTGATTCAAAAGGCGTACCAAATGCAATGTTATTGACAAGGTTGGGCGCATTCGCCAGCGAAACCTAAATAAAATTCAAAAACAAATAAGTCTATTTTTTAATTACAAGGGCTAATCTAATACTAGAACAAATTTTAAAAAGTTGAGTTAGGTTTGGCACCTGAGTGCATGGAGCGGCGTATGAAGAACTTGTGTCGATGTTTTGCCCCTCCGGATTCTGCCGTACTTCATTTTTTTCATACGTCGCTCGTCTGTCGTGCGTAATGGCTAATTTGTCAATTAAGTTCGGTACATGAAAAGTACGCCACCTGAAACGGGCCTAAGCTTATTTTGTTCAGTTAATTGATCAACCAATAATGTACAAAAAAATATGACAGCACTTCTAATAAAAAAATTGCTTCATTAGTAAAAATGTTCCTGCGTTGAGGACTACCGTTTACATGCTCACCACAGCCACTTACTGAAAACGATTATGAAAGCCCTATACCATTACACTACAAATAATTTATACTAGCTGCTTTACAGTACACCAACCTTTGTCCCACATTATAGTGAAAACAGTTTTCCTGTTGGTCACTTCATATTATGCAATCTGTGAACAGAACAAGACATGCACTTTTTCCAGTAACCCATTTATTTAGCCCAACCAAGATACCTATAGATCATAAAATTTCATATAAGCATAAATAATAATTTTTTTGACAGGCTTTTCAAATGAGAAGACATTTCTTTAATGATGAAGAAGAAGGGTTTTTTAAAACTCAAAAAAGAAAGGGAGCGGCAAAAAATCCAATGTCAGGTACCTTTACATATTTTGGTCAATCCCATCATAGATTATTTCGATTATATAATTTGAATAAAATGACATGATTATTGAATAATGTATGGCTTGTATATTATTTGCAGATCCAACTATGATGGTGGATATGGCAAAAGGAAATTTAACCAATGTTTTACCAATGATCTTAATCGGAGGATGGATTAACTGGCATTTTTCAGGATTTATTACAAGTAATTATCTGTCATCCCTTTATGGTGTACAGTAATTAACATCATGCTAGGATCTTTCTGATTGTTCTAAAAACCATAATTACATTACATTTGTTGACAGGCGTGAGTCACGTAGGTTAGGGTGATATAGTACAGTACAGTACAGTACAGTACAGTACAGTACAGTACAGTATAAACCCCGCGGTAAATAGTGACCATTGGTTTTAGAATATTAAAGACATTGGCCGAAAAAAAAGGAGGGCCATTTAAAAATATTCGAATTAGAGACACACGATTACTTCATCCTATTACCAAAACCGTTGATGCTTCCTCTCGCCCGAAAAAAACAACAACGCGTCTTGTTTTCGTGTCAAAACATTCAGGAATGATGCAACTTTGCTATTACAGTAACTGCTAAAATGTCAAACTACAGTATTATTACCTAAATTTCAACACAATTTCCTGCAAACCAGTCAGTTGTCGCCGTTTTCAAATTGTCGATTTCACGACGTTAGGAATGTAGTCGCTAGAAGAAGGATCTGCAGTTTTAGTAATATACTTGAGCACTACATTTATGGACTCGGAAAACTCATTGAGATCTTTATACGGCTATATCTGCAAAATTACAAAGGCAGGGTCCTCAGTTAAAGCTGTGTATCTCGGTAAATTGCTAACTCTAAAAGCTACTTGGTGTTGTTTCTTGTGGGGTCTTGCAGTTTTAAAAATTAAGTTATTTTTGCAGTCGCCCTCATAGTGTTGATAGTGAAGGTTGTGGTTAGGGAATGTGTTTGGTCATGGAGATGGTGTTGATCATTATTGTCTTCATGATCAGAGAAATAATATAAAGTTGATTTGATTTAATTCAGTACTAAGGTAAATGCAGTACTAAACGTTGTTTGTTTATTTAATTCAGCCAAAGTTCCATTTCCTTTAACAATCCGTTTCAAAGCAATGCTTCAAAGAGGAATTGATCTGGCATCTCTTAATGCTTCATGGTACGTATCTTCCGGCATAAATCATACTTCATGTGTTTTCTGGCAATTAGCGTGAGGCGGTTTCTACAAAAAGCCGGAAACCGACCAAAAAAAACGAGTGAACCGGGCTTTTAAAAAATACGTTCGAATATCGAAACTACGGTAAAAAAAGACACACCACGCTACTCAGTACTCACGCAAGATATTAAACGTAAGGTATTTTGAAGACGTTAATATCAAAGTTCAAACAAAATCTCTTTAGTTTTTCGTGTGTAAATGCCAAAACTTGATTCATTAACAGCAAACTCGTATAAGTATGGTTCGATTTTAGTAAAATACCTATTTTTCATCGAGTTTTGTTTTCCCCCGGTTTTTCGGTTTTCCAGTTTTTCTCCAAAAGTAACATCGAGTATTTCGGTTTTCAAATGTGGGCAGGAGGAATGTTTCAAACGCTTGGATCTCTCGCATAGAAACTGTTCTGGTAACTAACAGAAAGTTTATGATTACTTAACCCTAAATCTTAATAACCTGTTCACTGAATCAACAATAGCTTCCCATTGAAACATAGTGTGATATAACCACTAAGAACACACAGTTCCCATGCTCATACCAAGGTCTTTACCAGGCTACAATCATCAATGGCTTCATGAAACGTTATCCGCATGATGTTGTTAATTCTATTGTATCCGCATGATGTTGTTAATTCTATTACCTGTGCATTAAAATGTGGACATAGCCTCCCCTCCCCCAGCCCCATGTTGGCCCTTCCAGTAAACTATGTTGCCCCAACCCCCAGCTAAGGTCCATGAATTCTTAATTCAACTAAGTTTGAAGCACATATTTTGAATATGAAGTTAGCCCCTTAGAGTATGGAGGTATCGTTGCTGTATGACCTTTGCAGCCATGCCACGCCGGGGCGAAACGCCAAGCAGATGAAAGAGTATACAGTAGCTTCTCTCTGTAAAGACTGGTTAAATCTAGAGATAAGCCGATATAAAAAAGCCGGTTTCCGATACCGATTGTTCAAGAGACGATATACAGTACTATATACCCACCATCGGCCGATTGATCGGCAAAACCGACTGTTGGTTTTCATACTGTAATGTTCAGTGTTTTACTTAAATATTGCTTGGCACTTTGTTTTTGAGCAAACGTTCGTCAGGCACAAGAAACCCAAATCTTGAAAGGCTGATTATCTACAGCTATCAACAAGGCTATCATCTCACCGATGACAATGAGGCAGGAGCACTATTGATATCCCAACCAACGCGCACTTCGAAGCTCTCTTTGAGACTCATCTGATTGTTCAACTTTTTCCTCATGCTGATGGTAGTGTTTTCTTCTGCGTCGTCTTCTTTTTTTTTTGACTGATCGAGCCGTCTCCTTGCTTGCTAGTTTAACGTACTTGTTGGGATGTAGTGACTGCAGATGACTTTTCAGATTGGTTGTGAAATTATTTTTCTGCTTTCCACCTCGTGACGACAAAGAACGAGCACCGCTGCTTTTACAAAACAGACGTTCTGCCTTCGATTCGTCTTTCTCATCAATTTTGAAATATTCCCAAACAATAATTTTGGAATGACAAGGAGGAGACAGACACCGCTGACCGATCAGATAGTGAACGACAATCGGCCGATGGCCATCAGTCACAGCCAATGGCCGATTGTGATAAAAGTAGCCGCTAATCGGCTCTGTCCATGTTTTGCCGATCATCGGCTCATCTCGAGTTAAATTAATTCGTTCGAAACGTATCGCAATGGTCTGTTGTGGCATTTTAATTTTTACCAAATACTTCTGCTCTCGTGTGTAAGGCCAAAATTCTGCTCACTAAATTCCGCTTTCTTAGTTACGTTCTTTTAATTTATTAGCGTGTTTTGATGGCGTATGTATTCAGTGATTACTCCGGTACGGTAAAGTGTAAAATTTCCGATAATTTTGTTAAGAATATTTTTACAAATGAAAAATCCCCTAAAATATCACTCTCAATTACGAAATTATCAATTCCCCAAACATATATATGTTAGGTATGTTATTATACGTAATATAAGCTTCAATATGAAACTAAACTGCCTTTATTTATCGAAAAACTTTGAGTTTGAAATAAAATTATTTCAAATTCTCGCATTCAAACAACTTTGCTTTCTTTTTTATTTAAACATTTTAATGCTAATGATTTCGTTTCCCCGGATGTAAATAGCCGGGCGGAATTAGTACCCTCGCCCCGGGCTTATGCCCGGAACGGCGTTCCGCGCCGTTGGCTCGGGGATAAAATACTTTTCCAATAAATTGGAGGATTAAAAATTTCAATAAATGATTTCTTCCGTTTTCGTGCTCGCTGAATTCGTAAATCCATTCACTCCGTTTTCTAAGCTGTGTAAATCAAAATAGCAAGTTGTCATGAAGATGTAGACTGGCGATCGACAAAGAACACAGCGCTGTAGAACGAAGTCGCCATATGTTCTTCACAATTTCTTCACGAAAGATGTCGTGTTTAGGGACTGGTCATAAAGTAACTGCTAGGGTGGGCTGGAGGTAAATCACAAATTTTGCCAATAAGTTTGGTGACCCATCTTAAGATGTAGATAAAAATTTCTAAGTCCATCTAATCTTACAAAACATTTTTCATGGCCCACCCAATCTAATTTGGGAAAATACACTTTTATAATAAAAGAAAATTTGTAGGTATGAACATTTTAATTATGCACGGCACTGTATTGACATACATAATTCCACCAAGCTTGACCAACACATTGATACTGAATTTATACTGTTGTATAAACAAAGTACTGGCTTCAATAGCATCATTTGCATTTGATAATTTGGATAGTTTTGTTTACTTGTATTATTAGTATTTTTATTTTTTGAAGTAGACATGCATGGGCTTTTTTGTTTGGTGGCCCAACCGTGGACATACAAAAAAATTGGTGGCCCATCGAAACTGCCCAAAGATTTTCCATGCCCCATCCCAAATCACTCCAGCCCACCCTAGCAGTTACTTTATGACTGGTCCCTTAGTTGCGAAGGACGAGAAATTCTTCGCACATAAATATGTCCTCACATTTATTATTAGTATTATTATTCATTAAAACTTCATTTAAACACGAAATTCACTCACAAAATGTGCTCGTCCATGGAGCCGTGTAGAATAGATGTTTACAAAGTATTTAATGTTTCAAAAATTAACTGTAAAGTCTGTAATAATATACTAACTATGATGATTGCCTTAAAATGTTTTTGAAAGTTGCTACAGATGTTGCATTGATTGCTTCAACAGGTAGGCTATTCACAGGACAGATCCTTTGTACGTAAAACTTTTCTTGAGTGACTCAGTCAAAGGTCTTGGGAGAATAATTTGCTATGTATGCGTGGAGGGGGCGATGGGAAGTAAGGTATCATATTGCTGATTATGCTGAAAAAATTAAAATGGCGACCGTGTAAACACGGAGTGACAGCTTATATACTTGTAAATATTGTAATATTTCGGCAGTTTTTATTGAAAATTTTCAGCATAATCAGAAATATGATACCTTACTTACCGTCTTCCCCTGCGCGCATAATTTAAAAGCTGAAATTGCCTATTAGCTGGAGTAAATTTGTTTGAAAGATGTAGTGTAGTGCTGTACTTTGTGCAATATTTCAACATAAAACAACTGAATTCGTCCCAGATGAAGTCGCCATGAAACGTTTTATGGGGTGAATTAACTGAAAAGAATTCACCGATACTACGACGAAAGTCTGGAAAAGTTTCTAAAATTTCTTTGCACGGACGAATGTAGTTTAACAACAGATAATGCAGTGTTGGGATGTTGTTGTTGATAGTATAATACCTTTTTCGTTCTACGTTTCAGGGTCAGTTCAGTCTCATGGTATTTTATCAATGTTTTTGGTCTGCGTAGCATGTATTCACTTGTATTGGGTGAAAATAATGGTAAGGATATATTAGAATTTAGACACTGAGAATAGACCTTCCCCCTTATGAGTGAAACTTTGATCTAGATATGCCTGGACAAAAATTTCATCACAGCTTGAAAGAGCATCACAAAATTAGTAATATTCCAAAGTTTCGTTGCGAAATGTTGTAAAATGCGGACAATATAGCTTGCGAAGTTTGCCGTTTTTCAGTCATTTTGCATTACAAACGGATCATCAATTTCCCATTTGTAATACAAAATGACTGAAAAACGGCAAACTTCGCAAGGCTATATTATCCGCAATTTACATCATTTCGCAACGAAACTTCGGAATATTACTAATTTTGTGATGCTCTTTCAACCTGTGATGAAATTTTTGTTCAGACTTGTCTAGATCAAAATTTCACTCAAAAGGGGAAAGGTCTATTTATATAGGGTGTATTTTTGTCAGGTCCGCGTACTAGATTTACCACATCTTAAGCTCTCTAATGTCTCATATACGAAAACGAGGTTATATAGCCACTGTAGTTATCCATATTCTGATTACACCTCATGTGTCAACTTAATGTGGATCGTGACTAAAACACCACATGAGTACATACGAGTAACACACAAGAACATACGAGTAACGTACGAGTAACATACGAGTAACATACGAGTAAAACACAAGTACATACGAGTAAAATACGAGCAGTAAACTTGTTTTTTAGTGTTTGTAGATTGAATACAGGCAAAAAGATCTCGAAAAACGTGAAATAGCCTGAAACCGGCTATCTTGGAAACCCGTAACGGGAGAATGGGGGAATGAGGTAATTGGGGAACGGGGGGACGGGGAATGGGGGAACGGAGGGAATGGTGAGGCGAGGGGGGAGAAGGAATGGGGGACGGGGGAGGTCTGCTCGATTCTATAAACCACAACTTTGTAGTTTGTACAACATCTACTTTTAGGTATTCTACCTAGATAGTTAGATACATGACACAAACCATAGGCTTACATATTTCACGGCATGATTTGCTTTCAAAATCCTGTGAGCATGCACATAACCTAATTAATAACTGCATCTATACTTAAATAGTACTAGGGAATAAACTTACAATCATCACATTATTATTATTATTATTAATTATTATTAAAACGAATTATTATACAGGATAAAAACACTTCAGCAAAAGAATAGCTGTTATCAACGTGTGTCCTGTAATGTTCATAAAAATAACTATAACTATATACTACTTAATATCAATTACAATATAGAATATTAAAATCTCTTCAGAGGTTAAAAAGTACATTTAACAATGATCTTCTAAGAGTTTAAGAAAGTTCTGGTGGTTTTCCGTTTTTCGTATTTCAGCTGGCAGGTCATTGTAGATCTTCGCACCCATGAAAAAGAACGACTTCCGCGCATATTCAGTTCTTATTTTTGGAAGGCGTAGCAGACAATTATTATTTCTCGTTTTCTTCTCATGATTAATGATGGTAAAATAATCATGGAAAAGCGAACTTATGTCCTTAACAAGGCATTTTCGTACGATTTCACAAGCTCTCTTATGATTACATTGAATTACTGAGGGGAGTTCTGCTGGAATACTTTTGCCAGTAGATACAGTTTTTACAGCACGGTCATGGAAAGATGAGAGTCTCATCAGCTGAGTCGGGCTTAATTTGAGTTGTAGTATACCACAGTATGTGAGGGTAGGTAAAATCATTGATTGGTATATTGCTTTAGCAGATTTTAGGTTAAGACAGCCTCTTAACTTTGCAAGCAATCTCAACCTACCAGACGCACGTTTAAAGTTTTTCTCGAAATGAGAATTCAAATTTAAACTGCTATTCAATTCCATCCCAAGGTATTTGTATTCTTTGGTTTCGGATATTTTTTCACCTCGGTAACAGACAACAAATGAGTCGTTGAAATTCGCTAATTTTTTTGCAGTTCCAAATAGTAGAGATTCAGTCTTTCCTTTCTTTAAGTTAATTATCAGTTCATTTTCATCCAGCCAATCAGCAATGGCATCAATGTCCTTATTGAGTTTTGTTTCGATGGTGCTTACTTCCTTGTCGTCAACATAGAGAACCGTATCGTCTGCATATTTAATAATTTTTGAATTTTCTAACACATCCGTAATATCGTTAAAGAAGATAATAAATAGAAGGGGACCAATTATAGAACCTTGCGGTACACCAGTTAAGATTTCTTTACTCTTTGACAGACGTCCATCATAACTCACAACTGCCGAACGGTTAAACAGATAGTCCTTAAACCATTCAAGTTCGTTTCCACCAATACCGTATCGAGGGAGTTTATCAAGGAGTTTGGAGTGACATAGCCTCAATCACAACATGTGGCTGGACAAATATACGAACTACACAGTTAACGTTCACAACAAAGACCAAGACGTTTACAATATATCACTGCATGGTCTGCTTTCAAGACCCCGTTGAAAATATTAGAAATCCATTAGATATATAATGAATATAAGTAAACCACAGGTCCAAGACGCATGTAGAGGTCCTACTACCTATCACAAAATTAAAATATTGATCGTTTATTGTCCCTGGATATGCAAACAACATACATATAGTTACACATGGAAAAGGCGGCAGTGTGAAGTGTTATCGGGCCTGCGTAAATAGCTCAACAAAGATATGCGAACATGTCCTGGCAGTAGCGCAAGTCCGTGGATCATTAAACGAGTTCTTGGCATGGTACCGATCCAAAAGAAGGGCAGATCCAAAAGAGGGCATAAAGACAAAGTGTTGGACATGGCATTAGGAAGTGCTCCAAAGAGCGCGGGGAAGAAGCCAAGTAATCGAAAGAAAAGCAACTCGCAGAAACTTCCTGTTACCGAGACTAGGGACCTAGAAGGTAACCGATCTGTCTTCGTCAATCCACAAGCACCGGTATTTCCACTAAACGTAGCTCCGGTTCCAATCTTGCCTGCCATACAGCAACAAACAGAGAACAACAGGCTTAATAGTCTTTTCCCCGAAGCAGCTCCACACCAACCTGTTATTCAGAATGTTTTCCCATTCCCCATTCCGGGTTTTAAAGATAGCCGGTTTCAGTCTATTTCACGTTTTTCGACAGAGAAGACGATCTTTTTGCCTGTATTCAATCTACAAACACTAAAAACAAGTTTACTACTCGTATTTTACTCGTATATGTACTCGTATGTACTTGTGTTTTACTCGTATGTTACTCGTATGTACTCGTGTGTTACTCGTATGTACTCGTATGTACGAGTAACATACGAGTACATACGAGTAACACACAAGTAACATACAAGTACACACGAGTAACATACGAGTACACACGAGTAACATACGAGTAAATACGAGTACATACGAGTAAAATACGAGTACATACGAGTAAAATACGAGAATTAGCACGCTTTCTTTAAAGTTTCTTTCACTTACACACTTTCACTTTGGCTTCGTATTATGTTCATGTTGTAAATGCCTTATTGACATAGGCGTACGAGACAGGGGGGCGGGCAACTGCCCCCCAAAATTTTGGAAAACCATGGAAATTCGGGCAAACGCTAGGAAAAATCAAGAAAATTCGGGCAGATTTATGAGAAAATATGTTAAAATCAGGTTATTTCTTTACAATTCTCCACAAAAATTCAGGCAAACTTTCAACTGCCACCCCCCCCCCCAGAAAACATCAGCCCCGTTCTCCTATACGTATTGATGGATTTCGAAGCCTCGCACGACGTAGAAAAAGTAATTCATTAATATAGAATAAAGATTTGTATGTTCTAAGACTCTAAAAAGGTTTAAATGTAGTGTATTGCTCACAGGCTGTCAAAGAGTTTTTGTAGTACATGAAAGTGCATGTTTGCCATGTTGTTTATACGCCTGTAGTCTATGTGTTTTGCAAGTTTAATACGTCAATTGTACACCTGTTAATACGTTTTCAACAGGGAAATATAAAATGCTTAGGGCTCATTATTTATCCGTTGAGGGGGGGGGGGGCTGGTAAAATGATGGAGGGGGGATATATTTTATGGGTGTAAAAGAGTGGTTTAAATCTTTTGAAGAAGTGTTTTGGGGAGACAATAAAATTTTATAGCATTGATATAAAGAAGATGGTATAGAGACAGTGGCGTAGCCAGCGTAAAAGGTATGAGCCATTTTGGGGGAGGTCTGG